AATGAACAGGCAGACACTGCTGCGCGGTCAGCAGTACATGACCTACCAATTTCCTATAGAGGTGTTCCATTTCTGGACTATTTTGCTGCAATAGCTACCCACCTTCGCACCCGTTGGCAACAACGTTGGTCAACTCTGCTCGGTAACAAACTTCATTCTATTAAGCCGAGCATAGGTTACTGGCCGTCTTCTTGTCATCAGTGCCGAGGTTGGGAGACCACTCTCTCCCGCCTTCGCATTGGCCACACTCGTCTTACTCATGGGTATCTCATGGAGAGGCACCCTGTTCCTCTCTGTTAGCAGTGTCAAGTTCCAGTATCGATTTGCCGCATTCTGTTAGACTGCCCTCTCTATCAACGAGCACGCAGAATTTACCTCCAACGTCGTCTTCGTTCTACTACTCTCTCTTTACCTTCCCTTCTTGCTGATGGACCCTCCTTTAATCCTGACTCTCTCATTGACTTCTTGACAACGACTGATTTGCTCCACAAACTCTGATGATACTTTTTGCACTCCCCTCAGTCCTTTCTAGTTCAGTCTCTTGCTGCCCTTTACCCTTTCACCATCCACTACCCCGCTGTTATCCGTAACCTATTACTCATCCATCTCCCTTTTGCCACCTGATGCCCTCGCTTCCTTCCTGCCCTGCAGCGCTGTATAGTCCTTGTGGCTTAGTGCTTCCTTTTTTATTATAATAATAATAATCAATTCTGTGGATCAAGAGCCTTTTACCAATTTTAGGGAACCTCCCATGATGGTTGACGATACTGGATCTCCAATCAAGCTCATTTCACCAGCATCCTAATTGTTATATTCATGAGGTGGAGTGCTCAACCCATAGCAGTCTAACAGCGCCAGGGAAATGGGAGGCAATTAGATTTGAGCAAGGAAAGGGAGTGTAGTTCTAATTCTTTGGGTTGAGCCCTTCACTGTCATCAAGGCACCTCCTTTGAAGTTAGGCACTCCTCAGTCAAAGTTTATTCTCTATAAGGATTACAATGTGGGGTTTACAGATTTTGGTTATTGTGTGGTTTACAGGTAATAAAATACTAATTACAGAGGGGGCCACTAGAACACCTAGCAAGGCTAGGCATTTCGAGCAAACTTAGATTAATTCTTAACCCTAAATTATTAGAAATTGTGGAGTAAGTTGACTAAATACTAGTTTGTGAGTTTAGCAATGTGAATGCTTTTGTTTTGGCACAATATATAGTTTCTATATTGGAGTATCACAGGCAAACTTGTGACTAGTTAGGAATCATTATTTTAAGATTAAGATACGTATTTCTGTGCTTATAGTCCTGCTGAATTGGTCCAGTATTGTTTTCTTCCAAAAAAGACAAAATACAATCATTAATCTTTACAATTAAAATAAATCAAAGAAGGTTAATAAAAAACATTAAGAAAATTTGTAAACAGATTTATTAAGTGGATTTATAAATAATAAACTAAATATTTTGTGCTCACTTAATAATTTATCTTGTGCTAAAAAAAAATGCACATAAAGAATCAAACTAATAATGAAGAGCATTTAATTCACATTTGGTTTCCACTATATACATAAATGAAACAATATCAGAATACTAAATCTTTACAAATATAATAAATGATATTCAGCAATTATAAGAAAAAATAACTAACCGATATATATTTCCAAAGTCACTATTATTGGAGATGTATGATCTATACTAGCCAGAGCTGGTAAACAAAATACTTAGGATGGGGAAATTTATACAAATATGTGAAATCAAGAACATGAAATCTCTGGAAATTCGGTAAATACACATAATCACTATCACCCCTAATTGCTACACACAATCTCTTAAGATAATTCCTGAAACCTTTTTTAAACATGACAGCCATCTCTCACTGAGGTAGGGTGATCCAAAAGAAACAATTTAAACAACATTCTCTATCACTGTCTTGCCAGAAGTACACCGATACTAAAGTTCAAATGCCCCTCCAAACTGCAAATATCCCCACCTGTTCTGAGTGAAAGCACTGTACTTCCCACCTCCAGGACTCAAGTCCAGTTAACTGGTTTTCCTGAATCCTTTCATAAAATGTTACCTTGCTCACATTCCCACAGCTCATTAAGTTCCAAAAGTGAATGTGCATACTGTATTTACTGAAATTACCATGGATTTAAGGTATGGTAATTCATAGTTTCACACTTTTACTGATAAACAGCATAGAGGTGGTAGTATGCTCATCAGAAAATAGATAAAGTTTCTTCTGACACAGGGTGAAACAAGGACTTATATCTGGTAAGCATCTGCTGACTAATGGAGCTATATTTCCCCTTCCATTTAAAAACGAAAAAGGATCACTACCTAGTAGTAATCCAATACCTCTGAACTTTTTTTAAACTTTGCTCCTTTAGTTTCTTCTCAGTTGAGCTTTAACCCAGGTGGACACTGTTGCAAATAAATAAAAAAACTTAACATCAAAAGCAGAATAATTCATTATTTTGTAGGAATGAGATAATACAAGACAATAATACACTTGACTGATATTTACTTATCCAAGAGGAAATGCCAGCTGTTCTCAGGCACATCAATAACCAGCTTACAGGTCAGAGAAAAATGACATTACATCTGCTGAGAAAACAATGTATTAATACGGGAGTTGTGGTAAGAATGAATAGAAGTTGTTGGAGCCTCGTGATGGTTAGGATATAGTAGGAGTGAAATTTATATTACAAGCAAGGCAATCAGAAGTTAAGAGCTGTAAGGTGTATCCCATGATTTCTCACCAGCAGAGACTCCAAAACTCAACATTTCACAGATGTGCTCTTATCTTTAGTGTAAAACACTTTCTTGGATTGCCAACCCAAGTGTCATCTATAACCTCTGGACAGAACAGAGAACTGCACAAGGCAACTTCTCTCTCACCTCAACCCAGACTGGATGGATGAGTCATTTCAGCAGAACCTACACCAGAGATGTGGGTGGCCTTATTGTTATCGTGTTCCATACTTGACATCACTTTGCGGCCGAGAAGATAGCTTCTATGCCACAAAATCGGCAGCAAAAACCAACTACACACTATACCCTACTCAAGAATGTTCCTTCTGTGATCATTTATTTCCTGAATGACTAACTTCATCCTGTTCCCTATGCATGTTTCATAACAATAAAGATTTAATAAATAAAAATGCTAGGGAAAGCTTTTAAATGAGCTGATGTTGGAAAGAAACTTTTAGCTTGAAAATAAAGATAGGAACTTTAAGCTTAACTCTGTAAAAACTGAGTGTTTTATATATACAGTCTCTCCTCACTTAACGATGGAGTTCCGTTCCTAAGACCATGTTGGTAAACAAATTTGTCACTAAGTGAGGAGCACACTATAATGGTAGCGAGTTTGTGTCAACCATCTTTGATACTGTTTTAATGTCACTTTTGCACCATTTATACCCCTCAAGGAAGGTTCCTTGATGTTGGTGAGGGGCTCTTGATTTAGGGAATTGGATCTGTGCTCCAGTTCCCCAAATTAAGCCTGAATGCCTTCCACATCCCCCCCCCAGGCGCTGTATAATCCTCCGGGTTTAGCGCTTCCCCCTTGATTATAATAATAATGCACCATTTATAACATTTCTGGTATATTTTTTAATGTTTATACAATAGTGTACTGTATATTGTAATAAACAGAATAGAGGAAATCAGCTCTAATATGCATACTGGTCAGAGCGCCTGTCATAAGTCCGAGTTATCACTAAATGAGTACATCACTAAGTGAGAAGAGGCTGTACTGTACAAGAGGTGCTATTAAAAAGTCAATGCACTTGAAATTTCTCGTACTTCCTGGATGAAATATAGCAGCAGTGCAGATAACGCTGTGCAGTACACTCCTATGTGAAGTAGTGTGGTGAGTTTCAGTGTGGTTGGTCATTCCATTGAGGTTAGGCAGGCATTTTTTGTCATACTGTCAATATGCTGTTGCAGTTTTTGTGTAAAAGAATAGAATCTCAAAAACAAAGAACAGTGGGTGTAGGAAATTCTGTTCCAAGCTTGGTAAAATGGCTAGTGAAACAAAATGCTTCAGCAAGCATTTGATGACGAAGTAATGGGTTGGACACACCGTTATGAATATTTTTCTTGATTCAAAGCAGGATGAACATCAGTTGGGGATGAACACTCGTCGTCCATCAGTGTCAAAAACAGATGCCAATGTTGTCAGAATATCCAGGTCATTTTAAGTGCTGTGGGAATTTCTTTATGAATTGTGTCAAAACATTTTGATTGAAAATTTGAACATGAAGCAAGTGGTTGTGAAATTTGTGTCCCGCATGCTGATTCAAGGCTGAAAACACTAATTTTCTGGCAAAAAAAAAAAAAAAAAAAAAAAAAAAAAAAAAAAAAAAAAACGCATGGTGGTCATCCCTTACCCTTCGTATTCCCCAGATCTAGCCCCCCCCCCCCCCCGTGACTTGTTTCTCTGCTCAAAAATAAAAATGGTATTCAAGGGTGTGGTGTTTTAGCAAAGCAGAGGAGATTCAAGCAGACTCTCAGGCTGTGCTAGGTGCATTTAGGAAAGAAGAGCACCAGAAATGTCTCAAGAAGTAACAGAGCTGGGATCAGTGTACAGCCTCCCAAGGAGAGTACTTTGAAGGAGACAGCAACAACTAGGTGATTAGTTAAGCCTATAAATTTTTTTTTTGTGGCAGTCTGGGAACTTTATGACAGCACCTCGTTTATAAAAGTTACTACATACTGCTTATAAAAGAAAAGTTATTTATATCATTATTCTAACTGAGAGAAGCTATAAACCAGTAGGGCCATACAGTGCATTGGGAATGGGAGGCAATATGGTTCAATTCCAAGGAGAGGAAAGGCTCAATTCCTTGGATCAAAATCCCCTCACCAGCATCAATGCACCTCTCCCTTAAAGGGAATGTTTTTAAAAAACTGCTACCTTGTAAATTTAGCTAAATCACTTGTTGTGATTTAAAAACAGCTGGAATGTTTCGAACGGGTTAGAAGGGCAAATTATTTTCAAGAAATGAAGCATGTTTTATCATAGAAATTTTTTTAACAAACTGGCCATATCCCACCATGACAGGGTGACCTAAAAAAAAAAAAAAACGAAAGTTTCTTTTCTTTTTAACCCCTAAATTGTCCAAATGTCTATATATAATCTCTTGCCCAGCAACCCAAATATTTTTGAAAAAAAAAAAAGTTTTTTTTATAGAAATAAAGGGTGCATTTTCTAAGTGTTTTTTTTTTTTAACAAGTCGGCCGTCTCCCACCGAGGCAGGGTGACCCAAAAAGAAAATACTTTCATCATCATTCAACACTTTCACCTCACTCACACATAATCACTGTTTTTGCAGAGGTGTTCAGAACACAACAGTTTAGAAGCATATATGTATAAAGATACACAACATATCCCTCCAAACTGCTAATATCCCAAACTCCTCCTTTAGAGTGCAGGCACTGTACTTCCCATTTCCAGGACTCAAGTCCGGCTATATAAAAATAACCGGTTTCTCTGAATCCCTTCACTAAATATTACCCTGCTCACGCTCCAACAGATCGTCAGATCCCAAATACCATTCGTCTCCATTCATTCCTATCGAACACGCTCACGCACGCCTGCTGGAAGGCCAAGCCCCTCGCCCACAAAACCTCCCTTACCCCTTCCTTCCAACCTTTTCGAGGACGACCCCTACCCTGCCTTAATTTCCCTACAGATTTATACACTCTCCATGTCATTCTACTTTGATCCATTCTCTCTAAATGACCAAACCACCTCAACAACCCCTCTTCAGCCCTCTGACTAATACTTTTATTAACTCCACACCTTCTCCTAATTTCCACACTCCGAATTTTCTGCATAATATTTACACCACACATTGCCCTTAGACAGGACATCTCCACTGCCTCCACCCGCCTCCTCGCTGCTGCATTCACAACCCAAGCTTCACACCCATATAAGAGTGTTGGTACTACTATACTTCCATACATTCCCTTCGTTGCCTCCATAGATAACGTGTTTTTTTTTATCTCCACATATACCTCAACGCACCACTCACCTTTTTTCCGTCATCAATTCTATGATTAACCTCATCCTTCACAAATCCATCCGCCGTCACGTCAACTCCCAAGTATCTGAAAACATTCACTTCTTCCATACTCCTCCCCAATTTGATATCCAATTTTTCTTTATCTAAATCATTTGATACCCTCATCACCTTACTCTTTTCTATGTTCACTTTCAACTTTCTACCTTTACACATACTCCCAAACTTATCCACTAACCTTTGCAATTTTTCTTTAGAATCTCCCATAAGCACAGTATCATCAGCAAAAAGCAACTGTGTCAATTCCCATTTTGTATTTAATTCCCCATAATTTAATCCCACCCCTCTCCTGAACACTAACATTTACTTCTTTTACAACCCTATCTATAAATATATTAAACAACCATGGTGACATCACACATCCCTGTCTAAGACCTACTTTTACTGGGAAGTAGTCTCCCTCTCTTCTACACACCCTAACCTGAGCCTCACTATCCTCATACTGTTCACATATATACTTCAATGTAAACACTTGATCTACACTTCCCCTACCCATTCTGAAACCTCCTTGCTCATCCGCAATCCTACATTCTGTCTTACCTCTAATTCTTTCAATTATAACCCTACCGAAGTCTTTTCCTGGTATACTCAGTAAATTTATTCCTCTATATTTTTTACAATCTCATTTGTCCCCCTTCCCTTTATATAAAGGGACTATACATGCTCTCTGCCAATCCCTAGGTACCTTCCCCTCTTTCATACATTTCGTTCTTTTCTTTCTTTCAACACACTGGCTGTATCCCACCAAGGCGGGGTGGCCCAAAAGGAAAAACGGAAGTTTCTCCTTTTACATTTAGTAATATATACAGGAGTAGTGGTTACTAGCCCCTTGCTCCCGGCATCTTAGTCGCTTCTTACAACACGCATGGCTTACGGAGGAAGAATTCTGTTCCACTTCCCCATGGAGGTAAGAGGAAATAAACAAGAACAAGAACTAGAAAGAAAATAGAAAAAACCCAAAGGGGTGTGTATATATATGTTTGTACATGTAGGTGTAGTGTGACCTAAGTGTAAGTAGAAGTAGCAAGACGCACCTGGTACCTTCCCCTCTTTCATACATTTATTAAACAAAAATACCAACCACTCCAACATTATATCCCCCCGTGCTTTTAACATTTCTGTCATGGTCCCATCAGTTCCAGCTGCTTTACCCCCTTTCATTCTACGTAATGCCCTGCGCACCTCCCCACACGCTCACATACTGTTCTTCTTCACTCCTAAAAGATGGTATACCTCCTTGGCCAGTTCATGAAATTACCGCTTCCCTTTCTTCGTCGACATTTAAAAGTTCCTCAAAATATTCTTGCCATCTACCCAAAACCTCTATCTCCTCATCTACTAACTCCTCTACTCTGTTTTTAACTGACAAATCCATTTGTTCTCTAGGCTTTCTTAACTTGTTTAACTCACTCCAAAAATTTTTATTATTTTCATTAAAATTTCTTGACAGTGCCTCTCCCACTCTATCATCTGCTCTCCTTTTGAATTCTCTCACCACTCTCTTCACCTTTCTTTTACTCTCCCTATACTCTACTCTTCTTATAACACTTCTGCTTTGTAAAAACCTCTCATAAGCTACCTTTTTCTCTTTTATCATACCCTTTACTTCATCATTCCACCAATTACTCCTCTTTCCTCCTGCACCCACCCTCCTATAACCACAAACTTCTGCCCCACATTCTAATTCTGCATTTTTAAAACTATTCCAACCCTCTTCAATCCCCCCCCCCCCACTACTCATACTTGCACCAGCCCACCTTTCTGCCAATAGTTGCTTATATCTCACCTGAACTTCTGCCTCCCTTAGTTTATACACTTTCACCTCCCTCTTGCTTGTTGTTGCCATTTTCCTCTTTTCCCATCTACCTCTTACTCTAACTGTAGCTACAACTAAATAATGATCCGATATAACAATTGCCCCTCTATAAACGTTTATCATTATTAAAAATTTCTTCTTATTCTTTTTAGTAATTATTACAGGAAAAGGGGTTACTAGCCCATTGTTCCCGGCATTTTAGTTGACTTTTACAACGTGCATGGCTTACGGAGGAAAGATTCTTATTCCACTTGACCATGGATATAAAAGGAAAAGTAATAAGACCAAGAACTATTAAGATAAAATCCAAGAAAACTCAGATGAGTGTGTATAAATAAACATGTACATGTATGTGTAGTGTGACCTAAGTGTAAGTAGAAGTAGCAAGACGTACCTGTAATCTTGCATATTTATCAGACAGACAAGAGACACCAGCAATCCTACCATCATGTAAAACAATTACAGGCTTTCGTTTCACACTCAGTTGGCAGGACAGTAGTACCCCCCTGGGTGGTTGCTGTCTAGCAACCTACTACCTACATTTGTCTAGGATTATGTAAAGTATTTTTAGATCCCAGCAATGTTTTGGATATGCGGGAGTATATAATAATAATAATAATAATAATAATAATTGTTCTAGGTAGTAGGCTGGTAGACAGCAACCGCCCAGGGAGGTACTACCGTCCTGCCACGTGAGTGTAAAACAGAAGCCTGTAATTGTTTTACACGATGGTAGGATTGCTGGTGTCTTTTTTTCTGTCTCATGAACATGCAAGGTTTCAGGTACGTCTTGCTATTTCTACTTACACTTAGGTCACACTACACATACATGTACAAGCATATAGTATGTACACACCCCTCTGGGTTTTCTTCTATTTTCTTACTAGTTCTTGTTCTTGTTTATTTCCTCTTACCTCCCTGGGGAAGTGGAACAGAATTCTTCCTCCGTAACCCATGCGTGTTGTAAGAGGCGACTAAAATGCCAGGAGCAAGGGGCTAGTAACCCCTTCTCCTGTATACATTACTAAATGTAAAAGGAGAAACTTTCGTTTTTCCTTTTGGGCCACCCCGCCTCGGTGGGATATGGCCAGTGTGTTGAAAGAAAGAATAATAATAATAAAAACAATTTCCCTTGAAGCATGATGTAAGACAAGTGTCAGTCCACTGCTGACAGTGCAGTGGTGACATTTGATCAGCGTCCACGGCCCTGGCTTTATTTGTTTTCACTGTTACACATAAACATGTCTGTGTCTATCTGTCAAACTCTGTCTAGCTCTCTATCTGTCTATCTAGCTCTCCATTTATCTCTGTCTCTGCTTATCTTTCTGTCTGCTTGTCTCCCTTTCTGTCTCAGAGAGAGTCACTCGTGAACCAACAGGTATTACACACGACTGCGTCATCACGTCTTGATCCTAAGCAAGTGTAAATACGTATTTGCCAGTCAAGCATATGCATTATATCTACAAGCACAGTATACCACTTTGTCTGGATTTTTTTTGGTTATCCAAGGTAATTTGCACTTTGTATAATTGTATTTATGTGTACCTGTGAGACAGAGACAGACAGACAGACAGCCAGCCAGCCACCTGAACACGTATTACATGTTCCAGAATTGTTTTTCTTCATTTAGGTTATAAGACATTCCGAAAGGGTGGTGCACAAAATGTTGCACATGGGTTATTATCAAGGTTTTTCACATTTCCTCGACCACTTATGTCCACATTCCACCTCAAAGTCACTAAACTCAGGGTCAACATCACTTTCCTATTAAAATGGGAGTGTTAATACTACATGACATCAGTGAATCCCAAGTGTTTGTCGCGCTGTTTGCTCTAGCTGGCGCTCAATTGAACTGGTGCTCCCACAAGGTACTAAGTGGTCCCAGATTTTTTTAACACTGTTAACACCCATTCTATGCTGACCAGGCATCTCAGGCCAATCGTGCCAAATTTAGAGGCAGGAAAAATAATCTGATCTACGTTTGGGACTCTAGCGGTACTAATGTATACATATGTTTGGACCGTTTAGGGGTTAAACTGCATAATGTATACAGGAGAAGGGGTTAGTAGACCCTTGCTCCCAGCATTTTATTTGCCTCTTATGATATGCATGGCTTATGGAGGAAGAATTCTGTTCCACTTCCTCCATGGAGATAAGAGGAAATAAACAACAAGAACAAGAACTAGTAAAAAATTAGAAGAAAACCCTGAGGGGTTATAAAAATATTATTATTAAAAATATCAAATAAAGTAACACAGATCTGCAAACAAAAACTTACTTCACAGTTATCTAACCATAATATTTTATAATAAAAAATAATTATAAAGAAAGATGCCCTCTCCTTATAATCTAGTTATCTACAAGATTATCTCCAGTATGTGTTGTATATGTAAGTTTTAACTTTACTCAATCTAAAGTACTGTTTATTTTTTTAAATCTCCAAGAAGTCGTTAAGATACTGATATTGTATAATATATCACTTATCTCAAATTATAAATGTGGTGGTAGAGTAAAAACTTTCAAATACAATGGAACCAAAGACTTGCAAAAATGGTTACTGCACTGTAACGAGAGATTCACTACCATAAACCGTTTTCTGAAATTCCATAGTTTTTTCTTTATACTGTACTATTAAGTATATATGATGGAAGTGCCACTTGATCCATTTTAAACTAAAAAACTTTTACTGATAACACAGATATTTGTCTAAATATATGTGAAGTTTTTTCATTATACCATTATTGTGAATTAAAGTTTAAATATTTTATGTTGGTTCATGACACAGTGAAGAATGACATTCAAAATTAATACTGTACTGTATAACAAACAAATGAAAAACAGCAACAACAAATCTTCAAATTTAATGCTTGAAGATGACCAAAAAGACTTTTACGAGTTTCTTAAATTTATGTACTCCACAAAACCATAAATAAGTACCACTGGTTAATCTTTCTTCAGAGCAGACTGAATATCTTTAAGCAACATTGAAGATATGACCATCTTCTCACAGTTAACAGTAATAGAAACTTCCTGTTCATCTTGTGGTAGAGTCAAGCACACCAGCACTAATGCCTTCCCTGAAGCAGTCTGCCCACCAAATCTGCAAAAGTACAAACAAAATAGTACTCTAAATAAAGAAAAATAGTTTGGCTAAATTATTTAGCCCTTAAACAGATTACCCTATAAAAGTCCAATTACATAGGAATCAGCTGTGATAATGAATATCACTTTTTTATTTATTTAATCTGTATGTCACTTTTGAAACAGAAACCTGTAACTGTTTTATATGATGGTAGGATTGCTGGTTTCCCTGAATCCCTTCACTAAATATTACCCTGCTCACACTCCAACAGATCGTCAGGTCCCAAGTACCATTCGTCTCCATTCACTCCTATCTAACACGCTCACGCACACTTGCTGGAAGTCCAAGCCCCTCGACCACAAAACCTCCTTTACCCCCTCTCTCCAACCCTTTCGAGGACAACCCCTACCCCGCCTTCCTTCCCCTATAGATTTATATGCTTTCCATGTCATTCTACTTTGATCCATTCTCTCTAAATGACCAAACCACCTCAACAACCCCTCTTCTGCCCTCTGACTAATACTTTCATTAACTCCACACCTTTTCCTAATTTCCACACTCCTAATTTTCTGCATAATATTTACACCACACATTGCCCTTAGACAGGACATCTCCACTGCCTCCAACTGTCTCCTCGCTGCTGCATTTACCACCCAAGCTTCACATCCATATAAGAGTGTTGGTACTACTATACTTTCATACATTCCCTTCTTTGCCTCCATAGATAACGTTTTTTGACTCCACATATACCTCAAAGCACCACTCACCTTTTTTCCTTCATCAATTCTATTATTAACCTCATCCTTCATAAATCCATCCACCGACACGTCAACTCCCAAGTACGTATCTGAAAACATTCACTTCTTCCATACTTCTCCTATGTTCACTTTCAACTTTCTACCTTTACACACATTCCCAAACTCATCCACTAACCTTTGCAATTTTTCTTTAGAATCTCCCATAAGCACAGTATCATCAGCAAAAAGTAATCTCCCATAAGCACAGTATCATCAGCAAAAAGTAACTGTGTCAATTCCCATTTTGAATTTGATTCCCCATAATTTAATCTCACCCCCTCTCCCGAACACCCTAGCATTTACTTCTTTTACAACCCCATCTATAAATATATTAAACAACTATGGTGACATTACACATCCCTGTCTAAGACCTACTTTTACCGGGAAGTAGTCTCCCTCTCTTCTACACACCCTAACCTGAGCCTCACTATCCTCATAAAAACTCTTTACAGCATTTAGTGGTATAAACCTTGGTAATAAATACCGACAAGTTGGTTTAGAAAGACACGTAAGCAAACACTATGACATATTTATTAGAAAACGTTTCGGTCCTGGGACCTTGATCACTTCTAACATACAGAGGTAGAAAGGCATTATATATATAGGCGGAGAGTGAGGTGTGACGCACGTGACCTGAGGAATGTCATAAGAACATAAGAATGGAGGAACACTGTAGAAGGCCTACTGGCCCATGCGAGGCAGGTCCTTATCAAAACAACCTCTGCCTATGATGAGGACGGGTAGACGTTGAAATCATGTGAATCCTGGCCCTCCTACTGGCCTTGCCTCGCATGTGCCAGTAGGCTTTCTACAGTGTTCCTCCATTCTTATGTTCTTATGACATTCCTCAGGTCACGTGCGTCACACCTCACTCTCCGCCTATATATATAATGCCTTTCTACCTCTGTATGTTAGAAGTGATCAAGGTCCCAGGACCGAAACGTTTTCTAATAAATATGTCATAGTGTTTGCTTACGTGTCTTTCTAAACCAACAGCATTTAGTAACTTACCACCTATTCCATATACAGTGGACCCCCGCTTAACGATCACCTCCCAATGCGACCAATTATGTAAGTGTATTTATGTAAGTGCATTTGTACGTGTATGTTTGGGGGTCTGAAATGGACTAATCTACTTCACAATATTCCTTATGGGAACAAATTCGGTCAGTACTGGCACCTGAACATACTTCTGGAATGAAAAAATATCGTTAACCGGGGGTCCACTGTACTTGCAACATCTGCCACATTGCTCCTCTATCCACTCTATCATATGCCTTTTCTAAATCCATAAATGCAATAAAAACTTCCCTACCTTTATCTAAATACTGTTATTTTCATATAGTCGGACTTGAGTCCTGGAAATGGGAAGTACAATGCCTGCACTTTAAAGGAGGGGTTTGGGATATTGGCAGTTTGGAGGGATATGTTGTGTATCTTTATACGTATATGCTTCTTAACTGTTGTATTCTGAGCACCTCTGCAAAAGCAGTGATAATGTGTGAGTGTGGTGTAAGTGTTGAATGATGATGAAAGTATTTTCTTTTTGGGGATTTTCTTTTTTTGGGTCACCCTGCCTCGGTGGGAAACGGCCGATTTGCTCAAAAAAAAAAAAAAGATTGCTGGTGTCTTTTTTTCTGTCTCATAAACATGCAAGGTTTCAGGTACATCTTGCTACTACTACTTACATTTATGTCACACTACACATGCATGTACAAGCATATATACATCTCTGGGTTTTCTTCTATTTTCTTACTAGTTCTTTTTTATTTCCTCTTATCTCTATGGGGAAGTGGAACAGAATTCTTCCTCTGTAAGCCATGCGTGTCGTAAGAGGCGATTAACATGCCGGGAGCAAAGGGCTAGTAACCCCTTCTCCTGTATATATTACTAAATTTAAAAGGAGAAACTTTCATTTTTTCTCTTGGGCCACCCTGCCTTGGTGGGATATGGCCGGTTTGTTGAAGGAAGAAGATCACTCGTGTTCATGAAGGAAAACATCTTGAGTGACAAGTGCCAGTATTTCAACCTCTAACAATATTCATGCATGTCTTGTGACCTACAAGCTCAATTACTTAGTTACCATGTGGGAACCTGTGAGTTGATGCATTACCTTACAGGATATACTTGCTATTCTCAAATGTTTTCTTTTTCAAAACTGAATAGTCCCATGAATAACTGACCCAAAATGATGTACATCAAATGGGTTTTGTAAAAAAAAAAAAAATCAAATTTTTATATTTAATTTTTACATTAGTAGGCTATTCTGGCACAGATACACAAACATAGAGATAAAATGAAACAATGAAAAACTGAGCCTCTCAAAATTGTGTTTGGAAGAGTATGGAGAAGATATAAATAAAGATCATTTAGGATCCATAGGTAAACTAACAAGATAAAAAAAAATTATCCTAAAGCAAAACCAGAAATGTCAAAAAGCTTTATCATTCCACGAAGAGAAATTTGACAAGTCCACATAAGAAGCCGGAGAGAAAAAAAAAAAACCCAGTCTCTGTTCTCTTCCTCAACATGCTGTGATCTATAATAAAATAAGAATTCAAGTATCAAGGTCAATAGGTGGCTGGAACCAACAAATTGGTCAACCAAGCCAGTGAACAAAAGGTCTGGTGTGAGATCAGGTTGTGGGGGCAATGACCCTTAAAACTATTTACAAGCACAGGGTCATATTTTAGTTTTGTAACAGTTAAATACTGTGTATAAAACTTGTACAATACTCACTTTAAGGTGTTGCTACTAGCACACTGAACTTGGAGAAGGTTGGCAGTCTCATAAACCCGGTTCACTAATTTTTTTACATCATTATTACTGCTCAAGAGATTCACTGAACCTCTCAGTTCATTCATTCCTCGCAGTTTGATCTGTAAGTTAACATAATTAGGATTTGTCAACTAAAATATTCTACTAAATAGTCTCATATCGTTTGTTACAGAGTTAGTTCTGAAATTCCAATGGCTACAGAGCCAAGTAAAACTATTCACCCTGCATGTTTCTCTGCCTGTGTTGAAATAATAACTACCTAAAGGCTGATTACTCTCTTTTCTCTCTTGATTCCCTCTATGTGTAAACAAATTTATTAGGAACTTCTAACTGCAGCCATACTATATTTTGTAGTACATACTTTGGTTTAAGTAATTATGCATCTGTAGAAAAATGAAGGTCTCAGTTCCAATTATTCTTCAAAATTCTACCATTTACCACCTTTAGTTTCGTAAAAAGTTTAGCAAATCACTATGTTACAGCTCAATACACTTACAGTGGAACACCACCAGTATGGAATGACTGGAGAATAAGGCAAAATAAGAAAAGTCTCCAACTGAGAAAAGTAAAATCTCCAAGGCAGTTATCTTCTTCTGAATACAATAATACAGTTATACAGTATATACAAAATATATAAAAGTAGTAGGTTGGTAGACAGCAACCACTCGGGGAGGTACTACCGTCCTACCAAGCGAGTGCAAAACGGAAGCCTGTAATTGTTTTACACGCTGGTAGGATTGCTGGTGTCTTTTTTTTCTGTCTCATACACATGCAAGATTTCAGGTACATCTTGCTACTCTACTTACACTTAGGTCACACTACACATACATGTACAAGCATATATATATACACACCCCTCTGGGTTTTCTTCTATTTTCTTTCTAGTTCTTGTTCTTGTTTATTTCCTCTTACCTCCATGGGGAAGTGGAACAGAATTCTTCCTCCGTAAGCCATGTGTGTTGTAGGAGATGACTAAAATGCCAGGAGCAAGGGGCTAGTAACCCCTTCTCCTGTATATATTACTAAATGTAAAAGGAGAAACTTTTGTTTTTCCTTTTGGGCCACCCCGCCTTGGTGGGATACGGCCAGTGTGTTGAAAGAAGAATGGTAAGATTGCTGGTGTCTTTTCTGTCTCATAAACGTGCAAGATTTCAGGTACGTCTTGTTACTTCTACTTACACTTAGGTCACACTACACATACATGTACACGTTTATGTATACATACTCATCTGAGTTTTCTTTGATTTTTATCTTAATAGTTCTTGTTCTTAGTGCTTTTCATTTCATATCCATGGGGAAATGGAATAAGAATTTTTCCTTCGTAAGCCATGCGTGTTGTAAAAGTCAACTAAAATGCCAGGAACAATGGGCTAGTAACCCCTTTTCCCATATAGCTTACTAAAAAGACAAAGAAGAAAACCGTCAAAGTGGGATGTTTGAATGTGCGTGAATGTTGTGCTGAAGATAAGAAAGAGATGATTGTGGATGTTATGGATGAGAAGAAGCTGGATGTCCTGGCTTTAAGTGAAACAAAGCTGAAGGGGGTAGGAGAGTTTCAGTGGGGAGAAATAAATGGGATTAGGTCAGGGGTTTCAAACAGAGTTAGAGCTAAAGGAGGAGTAGCAATAATGTTGAAAGATAAGTTATGGCAGGAAAAGAGGAAATATAAATGTATAAATTGAAGGATTATATGGTGTAAAACAACGGATGGATGTGAAAAGTGGGTTATAGTAAGTGTTTATGCACCTGAAGAAGAAAGAAGTGAAGAGGAGAGAGAGATTTTGGAAAATGTTGAGCGAGTGCGTGGGAAGTTTTGAACCAGGTGAGAGAGTACTTGTAGATGAGGATCTCAATGCTAAAGTGGGTAAAAATGTTGTGGACGGAGTAGTAGGTAAATCTGGGGTGCCAGGGGTAAATGAAAAAGGGGAGCCTTTAACTGAGCTAAGTGTAGAAAGAGGTTTGGTAATAAGTAATACATATTTTATGAAAAATAGAATGAATAAGTATTCAAGGTAAGATATAGCATGTAATGAAAGTAGTTTGTTAGATTATGTATTGGTGGATAAAAGATTGATGGGTAGGCTTCAGGGTGTACATGTTTATAGAGGGGCAACGGATATATCGGATCACTATTTAGTTGTAGCTACAGTTAGAGTAAGAGGTAAATGGGACCAAAGGAAAATGGCAACAGCAAGTAAGTGAGAAGTGAAAGTGTATAAACTAAGAGAGGAGGAAGTTAGGGTGAAATATAAGCAACTATGGGCAGAAAGGTGGGCTAATGCAAGTAAGAGTAGTAGGAGAGGGAAGGGAGGTTGAAGAGGGTTGGGATAGTTTTAAAAAAAATGCAGTATTAGAATGTGGGGCAGAAGTGTGGCTGTAGGAGGGTGGGTGCAGGAGGAAAGAGGAGTGAAAGGTGAAGAGAGTGCAAAAGGAGAGCAGATGAAAGAGTGGGAGAGACACTGGCAAGAAATTTTGCTGAAAACAAGAAAAACTTTTGGAGTGAGAAACAAGTTAAGAAAGCCTAGGGAACAAACGGATTTGTCAGTTACAAACAGAGTACGGGAGTTAGTAGATGGGGAGATGGAGGTATTGGGTAGATGGCAGGAATATTTTAAGGAACTTTTAAATGTTGATGATGAAAGGGCGGCAGTAATTTCATGCACTGGTCAGGGAGGTATAACATCTTTTAGGAGTGAAGAAAAGCAGGATGTGAGTGTGGGGGAGATGCACAAGGCATTACATAGAATGAAAGGGAGTAAAGCAGCAGGAACTGGCAGGATCATGACAGAAATGTTAAAAGCAGGGGGGGATATTGTGTTGGAGTGGCTGGTATTCTTGTTTAATAAATGTATGAAAGAGGGGAAGGCACCTAGGGATTGGCAGAGAGCATGTATAGTTCCTTTATATAAAGGGAAGGGGGACAAAAAAGATGGTAAAAATTATAGGGAAATAAGTTTACTGAGTATACCAGGTAAAGTATTTGGTAGGGCTATTATTGAAAGAATTAGAGGTAAGAGAGAGAGTAGGATAGCAGATGAGCACGGAGGCTTTAGAGTGGGTAGGGAATGTGTAGATCAAGTGTTTACATTGAAGCATGTATGTGAACAGTATTTAGATAAGGGTAGGGAAGTTTTCATTGCATTTATGGATTTAGAAAAGGCATATGATTGAGTGGATAGCAGAGCAATGTGGCAGATGTTGCAAGTGTATGAAATAGGTAGCAAGTTACTAAATGCTGTAAAGAGTTTCTATGAGGATAGTGAGGCTCAGGTTAGGGTGTGTAGGAGAGAGGGAGATTACTTTCCTTTAACCCTTTCAGGGTCGCCAGGCCCTCTCCGAGACTTGTTCTAAGGGCTGCCAAATTTACAAAAAAAAAAAAAAAAAAAAAAAAAAAAAAAAAAAAAAAAAAAAAAACTTATGAAAAGATAGAGAATCTTTTCCCAATCATAATGGCTCCAAAAGTATGAAATTTGATGGAAAACTTATGGAATTATGCTCTCGCGAAGTTAGCGGTCTCGACGATGTTTACGCATCGGTGATTTTGCCCAATTTGAGCCCTATTTTCCGCCAATTCAAGTGTACTAGTCAACAAAAATCATAACTATTTCGCTAGAACTCCGTTTTTTCTATCGAATGAGTACAAGAAACCACCCATTTACCGATTTCAACTATCCAATACAGTGGTCAGAATTTAGCAATTTTGCCAATTTCACACAAATTTCAAAAGATGCCAATTTCCAAATAGGGTCCAGAATAAACAAGAAAGGCATTCCTGGCACTAAAATAACATTTCCTCTGTTCATTAGTCACGTCCCCACGTCCCTCTTACATTCTTTTGCTTTCCACTTTGAATTTTTATTCTCACAAAAAATAGAAGATTTACTGTTATGCAGACTACTGCATTAGTGTAGAGATGGTATAAATAATATCGGCGCACTTGTAAAAGAATATTAGACTCACCAGCTGAGATGTATTGGACGCTTAGCATGATTTGTTTACTTTTGAACTTTGGTAAAAGTCGAACATTTCTGCTGCTTTGAGCTCAATTTCAAGGTACTTTTCATTGTAAAACCAGTCAAAATCATCTCAATTTCTGTAATATGTCTTCCATTCTATAAAATGAGACCAGGAAAACTAGAATACAACAATAAATACCATACGAAAATACAGTGCAAAGTCGCTATTTTAATCCAAAAAACACGGTCAAAGTTTTTTTTTCTCATTACGCACTGTGAGCTGCAGGATTTTTTTATACTGTGCACACTGACCACATAGACCCATTCTTTCATATGTAGGCCTACCAGCTGTCTCTCACTATATTTGAGGGCTCTTGAATTTAGGCGTACTAGTACGTCAAAAACCCTGGCACGTAAGCCGTACTAGTACGACCGAAACCCTGAAAGGGTTAAAAGTAGGTCTTAGACAGGGTTGTGTAATGTCACCACGGTTATTCAATATATTTATAGATGGGGTTGTAAAAGAAGTAAATGCTAGGGTGTTGGGGAGAGGAGTGAGATTAAACTATGGGGAATCAAGTACAAAATGGGAGTTGACACAGTTACTTTTTGCTGATGATACTGTGCTTATGGGAGATTCTAAAGAAAAGTTGCAAAGGTTAGTGGACGAGTTTGGGAGAGTGCGTAAAGGTAGAAAGTTGAAAGTGAACACAGATAAGAGTGAGGTAATGAGGGTATCAGATGATTTAGATAAAGAAAAATTGGATATCACATTGGAGAGAGGGAGTATGAAAGAAGAGAATGGTTTCAGATATCTGGGAATTGACTTGTCAGCAGATGGGTTTATGAAGGATGAGGTTAACCATAGAATTGATAAAGGAAAAAAGGTGAGTGGTGCATTGAGGTATCTGTGGAGACAAAAAACATTATCTATGAAGGCAAAGAAAGGAATGTATGCAAGTATAGTGGTACCAACACTCTTATATGGGTGTGAAGCTTGGGTTGTAAATGTTGCAGCGAGGAGGTGGCTGGAGGCAGTGGAGATGTCCTGTCTAAGGGCAATGTGTGGTGTAAATATTATACAGAGAATTCAAAGTGTGGAAATTAGGAGGAGGTGTGGAGCTACTAAAAGTATTAGTCATTGGGGTTGTTGAGGTGGTTTGGTCATTTAGAGAGAATGGATCAAAGTAAATGGCTTGGAGAACATATAAATATGTAGGGAAAGGAAGGAAGGGTAGGGGTCATCCTTGAAAAGGTTGGAGAGAGGGGGTAAAGAGGGTCATGTGGGCAAGGGGCTTGGATTTCCAGCAAGCGTGTATGAGAGTGTTAGATAGGAGTAAATGGAGATAAATGGTTTTTGGGACTTGATGAGCTGTTGGAGTGTGAGCAGGGTAATATTAAGCGAAGGAATTCAGAGAAACGGTTATTATGGCCCTTACCCGGACTTGAGTCCTAAAGGGAAAGAAATGCCTGAATTTAAAGGGGTTTGGGATTTTTGAATTTGGAGGGACTTCTAACTGTCAACGAGTGCCTCGCAAAGACGTGATTATGTTGAGTGAGGAAAAAAGTTTTAAATGAGTTATATATTTTTTTTCTTTTTGGGTCACCCTCCTTTGGAGGAGATGACCGACTTAAAAAAAAAAAATTTTTAGTTATAGCATGCGGAAATACTTTTTTTTTTTTTTTTCAACAAATCGGCCCCTCACCGAGGCGGGTGACCCAAAAAAAGAAAAGAAAATCCCCAAAAAGAAAATATTTTACCATCACCACACTTTCACTGTTTTTTCAGGGGTCAGAAAAAACAGTTTAGAAGCATACAAATTAAAGATAAAAAACATTCCCCCCAAAAAATGCCAAATTTTCCCAAACCCCTCCCTTTTAAAATGCAGGCATTGTACTTCCCTTTCCAGGACCAAGTCCTCTTAAAAGAAAAAAATTTTTCCCGAATCCCTCCTAAAAATTACCCCCCTTTACACCCAACAGACGTAGGTCCCAAGTAACATTCGTCCCCATTCATTCCTAAAACGCTCACGCATGCTTGGGAAGTCCCAACCCCTTGCCCCCAAAACCCCCTTTTTCCCCCCCCTCCAACCTTTTAAGGACACCCTACCCCCCCCTTTCCCTTCCCCTATAGATTTATTCTTTTCCCTGTCATTTTACTTTGATCCATTCTCTCAAATGACCAAAACCACCTCAACAACCCTCTTCTGCCCCCTGAAATATTTTATTAATCCACACCTTTTCCCAAATTTTCCCCACTCTGAATTTTTTTCATAAAATTTACCCACACATTGCCCTTAAACAGGCATCTCCAATGCCCCCAAACCGTCCCTAGTGCTGCATTTACCCCCAAGCTTTTACACCCCTAAAGATGTTGGTATATTTACTGTCATAATTCCCTTTTTTTCCCCCCATGAAAATTTTTTTGACCACATATACCTCAATGCACCCCTCACCTTTTTTCCCCCCATCAATTCTATATTAACCCACCCTTCATAAATCCATCCGCCGACACGTCAACCCAATATCTGAAAACATTCCTTCTTCCATACTCCTCCCCCAATTTGTATCCAATTTTTTTTTATCTAAATCATTTGATACCCTAATCATCTTACTCTTTTCAATGTTCACTTTCAACTTTCTACCTTTACACACATTCCCAAACTCATCCACTAACCTTTGCAATTTTTCTTTAGAATCTCCCATAAGCACAGTATCATCAGCAAAAAGTAACTGTGTCAATTCCCATTTTGAATTTGATTCCCCAAAATTTAATCCCACCCCTCTCCCGAACACCCTAGCATTTACTTCCTTTACAACCCCATCTATAAATATATTAAACAAGACTCAAGAAATCGTAATGACACTATTGCAAACAAACCATACCCCCGGCCGGGATTGAACCCGCGGTCATAGAGTCTCAAAACTCCAGCCCGTCACGTTAGCCACTAGACCAGCCAGCCACAATATTGTGGCTGGCTGGTCTAGTGGCTAACACGACGGGCTGGAGTTTTGAGACTCTATGACCGCGGGTTCAATCCCGGCCGGGGGTATGGTTTATATTAAACAACCATGGTGACATTACACATCCCTGTCTAAGACCTACTTTTACCGGGAAGTAGTCTCCCTCTCTTCTACACACCCTGAGCCTCATTATCCTCATAAAAACTCTTTACAGCATTTAATAACTTACCACCTATTCCATATACTTGCAACATCTGCCACATTGCTCCTCTATCCACTCTATCATATGCCTTTTCTAAATCCATAAATGCAATAAAAACTTCCCTACCTTTATCTAAATACTGTTCACATATATGCTTCAATGTAAACACTTGATCTACACATCCCCTACCCACTCTGAAACCTCCTTGCTCATCCACAATCCTACATTCTGTCTTACCTCTAATTCTTTCAATTATAACCCTACCATACACTTTTCCTGGTATACTCAGTAAACTTATTCCTCTATAATTTTTAGTCTCTTTGTCCCCTTTCCCTTTATATAAAGGGACTATACATGCTCTCCGCCAATCCCTAGGTACCTTCCCCTCTTTCATACATTTATTAAACAAAAGTACCAACCACTCCAACACTATATCCCCCCTGCTTTTAACATTTCTGTCATGATCCCATCAGTTCCAGCTGCTTTACCCCCTTTCATTCTACGTAATGCCTCACGTACCTCCCTCACACTTACATTCTGCTCTTCTTCACTCCTAAAAGATGGTATACCTCCCTGACCAGTGCATGAAATTACTGCCTCTCTTTCTTCCTTAACATTTAAAAGTTCCTCAAAATATTCTCGCCATCTACCTAATACCTCCATCTCCCCATCTACTAACTCCCCTACTCTGTTTTTAACTGACAAATCCATTCGTTCTTTAGGCTTTCTTAACTTGTTTAACTCCAAAATTTTTTGTTATTTTCATTAAAATTTCTTGATAGTGTCTCTCCCACTCTATCATCTGCTCTCCTTTTGCACTCTCTCACCACTCTCTTTACCTTTCTTTTGCTCTCCATATACTCTGCTCTTCTTATAACACTTCTGCTTTGTAAAAACCTCTCATAAGCTACCCTTTTCTCTTTTATCACAACCTTAACTTCATCATTCCACCAATCACCCCTCTTTCCTCCTGCCTCCACCCTCCTATAACCACAAACTTCTGCCCCACATTCTAATACTGCATTTTTAAAACTATTCCAACCCTCTTCAACCCCCCCACTACTCATCTTTGCACTAGCCCACCTTTCTGCCAATAGTCGCTTATATCTCACCCGAACTTCCTCCTCCCTTAGTTTATACACTTTCACCTCCCTCTTACTTGTTGTTGCCACCTTCCTCTTTTCCCATCTACCTCTTACTCTAACTGTAGCTACAACTAAATAATGATCCAATATATCAGTTGCCCCTCTATAAACATGTACATCCTGGAGCCTACCCATCAACCTTTTATCCACCAATACATAATCTGATAAACTACTTTCATTACGTGCTACATCATACCTTGTATATTTATTTATCCTCTTTTTCATAAAATATGTATTACTTATTATCAAATCTCTCTCTACACATAGCTCAATTAAAGGCTCCCCATTTACATTTACCCCTGGCACCCCAAATTTACCTACTACTCCCTCCATAACATTTTTACCCACTTTAGCATTGAAATCCCCAACCACCATTACTCTCACACTTGATTCAAAACTCTCCATGTGTTCACTCAACATTTCCCAAAAAATCTCTCTCTCTCCTCTACACTTCTCTTCTCCAGGTGCATACACGCTTATTATAACCCACTTTTCACACCCAATCTTTATTTTACTCCACATAATCCTTGAATTAATACATTTATAGTCCATCTTTTCCTGCCATAGCTTATCCTTCAACATTATTGCTACTCCTTCTTTAGCTCTAACTCTATTTGAAACCCCTGACCTAATCCCATTTATTCCTCTCCATTGAAACTCTCCCACCCCACATATTGTATATGTGAGAATTACTGCTGATCAGATCATTGTGTCATCTGCATGTTTTGTAAGTCAGTGTTTGAAATCACACTTGCTTAACATTTGCTTTCTATCTCACTTGTTTTGTGCCTTATTAAATCCTAGCACAAATATCTGGCTTAATTTTATGATTTTAAGTGTAAATACTGTATCAGCATTATAAACTTGTACTCTTTATATACCCCATTGTAAGTTTGTGCTGCTGATTTTCCTTCCCTCACCATTCACAAAGTAGAAGTAGAATAAATACAATTAATTTTATTTAAAAATATTATTATAAAGAAACAGTTAAGATAATTAATTACTAGGTATGAAATTCTTGTATTTTTCATTAACACAATGAATAAAATATATGTCACTTACTTGATTAAGATTAAAATCAGCCTCATTCATTGCCAAAGGCATCAACAGCTCTCCAACTGATGCTGTGATACTAATATTAAATGTTCGCCCCCCTGCTACCAGGTCAAAAACTGCTGGTTGAGTAGTATCATTGAAGTCCACACCAAGTGTTCCATACAGTGTAGTATCAGGATTCAAGACAGCAATACCAGCAAACTCATGGAGTGACATTCCTGGAGCAAGTTTCTTGCTGCCAATACTAATGTCACGAATTTCTTCACTGCTGTTGTTGGTGAATGAAAGTTCAACTGATGTCATACGGGGCGAATAGAGATGCGGAGAGCGTGTGAAGCGACATGATACAGCCAAACCCCCACCGCTAAGCCTGTTCAGCAACTCATGGGTAGCAGTGGGCACAAGCTTGGCAGAAGCAGGCTGAATAGAAGCACCTGGAGGAAGTGGTTGAGTAGGATATGATGATGGTGAAGGTGTCAGAAGTCCACCCAGTGAAGGAGTAAGGAGAGGAGTGTCCATGGCAGGTGGTGTGTCATCCAAATCTAAAAGAAGATCCAAGTTGCTACGATTGCCTTTTCCTTGAGGAACTTCCTTCTTTGGTTCCTGCTCCTTTTTGGTCTTCTTTTTCACATCTTCAGCAGAGGCTTCAGAGTCATCAGACTCATCATCACTTGACGACTCACTGCCTGAGGAGGAAGATGACGATTCAGAATCCTCACTGCCAGATGACTCGGATGCATCCTGTTTTTCTGGGTGCTTTTTTCCACCAGTGACCACCTTCCTCTTGACTCTTGGTTGCTCCTCATCCTCACTTACAGATTCATTACCTTCATCACTGCTGCTCTCTGAGCTGTCAGTGTCACTGCTATCACTGTCACTGTCACTCTCACTGCTGCTGTCACTTGCATCATTTTCACTTTCATCTTCAGGAGAGCTTTCATCAGAATAAAATGACTTTGTCTTCTCAGGTTTGCTCTTCTTTTGGTGTGAAGGTCTGTGGTGATTATCAGGAGTAAATGACACTGCAACTTCCACATAGCGCACACTGGGGTCAGGAGCCTCTTCTGGAAATGGTGGCAAATCTTGATATCCTGTTGCTCGTGCATTAATGAGATGAGACAATGTGCTAAGTTGAAACTGGTCACGATCTGAAATTACAAGTAAAATAAACACTGTTAAATTCTTCTTGGTTATATCTGAATGTATAATATTAGTTAAGAATTTTTTATATCCCACTGGTCATCTCCCATCAAGATAGGGCAACCAAAACAGGAAACATTCACCATTCATTCATTAATTTGTCTTCCTAGAAGAGTGAAGACATCACAGCTCAAATGACCCCCAAACTGGACATCCAGCAGGAATGTGTGTCTCTATTAGATAGGAGTGGAGGCAAACAGATTTTGGGATTTGGCGAGCAAGGTAACATTTGTGGAGGGATTCAGGGAAACCAGTAAGCTGGGCTTTGAGTCCTGGAGGTTGGAAGTATAGTGCCTGCACTCTGAAGGAGGGGTAGGGATATATGGTGTTTGGAAGAGCATCTAAACTGTAGTAACAATACACCTCTGGCCAGACAGTAATAAAGTGAATGATGGTGAAAGTGTTTCTTCTTTTTGGGGTCATCATTCCCCAGCAGGAGATGGCTGGTGTTAAATTTTTTTTTTTAACACATTGGTCATCTCCCACTGACGATGTGAACTAACCTTTAAAACTAGACTGCTGTACTGGGGGTGGCTTTATAGCTAGGAATATTTTCTTAGCATGCTTTGCAAGTTTGTTATCCTCATGACCTTGTGGTGGGAACACCAAGGCTCTTGTGAGACGTGCACGATCTCGAATGTCGTAGTTGGTGTCATATTTTGCTAGGTTATACACGTACTGACAGAGAAGACGAGTTTGCTTGGGGTTTGTTAAGTAGAGTTTGGTTGCTAAAGTCAAGATCTGCAGTTTCACAATGTCCTCCTGTAAAAATAATTTATTATTAAATTCATAAAACACACTATTAATTGTTGGGAAGTACAGGTATTAAAAACCAGTGAAATATGATGCTTCAGGCACTACTGTACTGTATTGAAGGCTAGCCACATTTAACCACACAGTATTTGAAAACAAAAAGCTCCCAAATTTATTCTATCTTTGTTGTTGTTTTTCCTATATTAAAAATCAGATCAGCTTATATTATATATCCTTCCTACTGGATTACTTTACAAATTATTCCTGACTACATCTCAAAATGCAAGATAAATTTAAAATTTGTATAGATTACCACTCCTATATTACCTCAGATATAAATGTCTTGGCCATTTTGCGAAGAACATCTGGGGCAATCTTAGGTACTTTATCACAATACTCCCCAAGCAGCCACAAAATACTGGCCCTTGCCATAGGGATCTTGATATTGTCCATCAGGCGTGCCATGTGACTGATTATATCCTTATGACCCACTGTCTCACTCTGCAGAAGCTTGCGGATAACTACCACACTCTCACCAACTACAGATTCTGTAAACAAGGCACCAGTCATATCACCAATCATCTTCAAATGATATTTTTAAATTGATGAGCAAAAGAAGGCATTAAGTATGCAAACACAGAATATGTCACTGATATGTCACTCATAACTAGCCAAAATATTATGCCTAATTTTTTACCTTAATGGCTATCCCTCACCAAAGCAAGGTGACCCAAAGAAGAACACATTCACAACATTTATTTAATTGTTGTCTTGCCAGAAGTGTGCTGACATCACAACTCAGATTACCCTCCAACTACAACATCCCAACCCCTCCTTCAGAGTGCAGGGCCTGCCCTTCACACCTTAAGTCCAGCTAACTGGTTTCCTTGAATTCCTTCATAAATGCTACCTTGCCCATAATCCAACAGCATGTCCATTAAAAACCACTTATCTCCATTAATTCCTAACTAACATGCTCACACAGGCCTGCTGGATGCTCAAGCACCTAAAACTCAGAACCTCCTTTACCCTCCTCTCTCAAACCATTCCTAGGAAAACCCCTACCCCCTCCTACCTTTCCACCCTCTTTGTCATTCTATTCATCTCCAACCTCTCAAAGTGCCCAAACCACCTCAGCCCCACACCAACTTTTAATTTCTACACTCCCAACTTGCTCCAAAATATTCACAGCACACATCGCTCTCACACATATCTCCACTGTCTGTAGCCTCCTCCTCACTGCAATATTCAAAGCCCATGCTACTAGATTTGAAAGAAACCCTAGAAATAGTATCAAGCTTCATGATGGTAACAATGATAATAAAAAAGAACTGAACAAGATACTTAATATAAGGTTGAGTGTTAAAGCAAAACTTCTACAAAGTACCTAAGTAGGGAAAGAGATGCCACCCAATCTTAAAGTTAAATAAAAATATTTTCACATCTAAAAATCTTTAAAAACCTTGAAAAATGCTAACTTACCATCTCTATTTGATAAGAGGGAGACAAGACCACTCAGGCAAGTGTCTGTTACTTCTCTTATGTTTGATGCACATCTGGAGAAAAAGATAAACACTTTATTAAGTACAGTATAAAGCTGTATCTACCTATAAAGATAATAATATTCCCTAACAAATTATCAACAAAAACAACTGGATCAAAACACACAAAATATATAATGTACAAGCAATAGGCAGCATTGCTTGTACATTATATTCATTTGCTCTAATTGACTTTATCCTTGCTGTTATAAAATTTAAATATTTCCTCAAAATATTAAGGCTATTTTGCATTAACCACACTTTTATTGCTTACGCATACAGTAAAGCAATACGTATGATGTGTAAGACAATGATACAGTGGTTGAAGGAAGTACTATTTTTCCACATGAAATAACAGGAAGAGTTCCAGGCTTTTGTTTGGTTTAAGATATTCACAAGGAGAGTGCTCATAATAAGAGAGAAGTGTAGAGGAGAGAGAGAGAGAGAGATTCTGGGAAATGTTGAGTGAATGTGTGGGGAGTTTTGAATCAAGTGTGAGAGTAATGGTGGTTGGGGATTTCAATGCTAAAGTGGGTAAAAATGTTATAGAGGGAGTAGTAGGCAAATTTGGGAAGCCAGGGGTAAATGTAAATGGGGAGCCTTTAATTGAGCTATGTGTAGAAAGAAATTTGGTAATAAGTAATACATATCTTATGAAAAAGAGGATAAATAAATATACAAGGTATGATGTAGCACGTAATGAAAGTAGTTTGTTAGATTATGTATTGGTGGATAAAAGGTTGATGGGTAGGCTCCAGGATGTACATGTTTATAGAGGGGCAACTGATATATCGGATCATTATTTAGTTGTAGCTACAGTTAGAGTAAGAGGTAGATGGGAAAAGAGGAAGGTGGCAACAACAAGTAAGAGGGAGGTGAAAGTGTATAAACTAAGGGAGGAGGAAGTTCAGGCGAGATATAAGCGACTATTGGCAGAAAGGTGGGCTAGTGCAAAGATGAGTAGTGGGGGGGTTGAAGAGGGTTGGAATAGTTTTAAAAATGCAGTATTAGAATGTGGGGCAGAAGTTTGTGGTTATAGGAGGGTGGGGGCAGGAGGAAAGAGGAGTGATTGGTGGAATGATGAAGTAAAGGGTGTGAAAAAAGAGAAAAAGGTAGCTTACGAGAGGTTTTTACAAAGCAGAAGTGTTATAAGAAGAGCAGAGTATAGGGAGAGTAAAAGAAAGGTGAAGAGAGTAGTGAGAGAGTGCAAAAGGAGAGCAGATGAAAGAGTGGGAGAGGCACTGTCAAGAAATTTTAATGAAAATAAGAAAAAATTTTGGAGTGAGTTAAACAAGTTAAGAAAGCCTAGGGAAAGTATGGATTTGTCAGTTAAAAACAGAGTAGGGGAGTTAGTAGATGGGGAGAGGGAGGTATTAGGTAGATGGCGAGAATATTTTGAGGAACTTTTAAATGTTGAGGAAGAAAGGGAGGCGGTAATTTCATGCACTGGCCAGGGAGGTATACTATCTTTTAGGAGTGAAGAAGAGCAGAATGTAAGTGTGGTGGAGGTACGTAAGGCATTACGTAGAATGAAAGGGGGTAAAGCAGCTGGAACTGATGGGATCATGACAGAAATGTTAAAAGCAGGGGGGATATAGTGTTGGAGTGGTTGGTATTTTGTTTAATAAATGTATGAAAGAGGGGAAGGTACCTAGGGATTGGTGGAGAGCATGTATAGTCCCTTTATATAAAGGGGAAGGGGACAAAAGAGATTGTAAAAATTATAGAGGAATAAGTTTACCGAGTATACCAGGAAAAGTATACGGTAGGGTTATAATTGAAAGAATTAGAGGTAAGACAGAATGTAGGATTGCGGATGAGCAGGGAGGCTTCAGAGTGGGTAGGGGATGTGTAGATCAAGTGTTTACATTGAAGCATATATGTGAACAGTATTTAGATAAAGGTAGGGAAGTTTTTATTGCATTTATGGATTTAGAAAAGGCATACGATAGAGTGGATAGAGGAGCAATGTGGCAGATGTTGCAAGTATATGGAATAGGTGGTAAGTTACTAAATGCTGTAAAGAGCTTTTATGAGGATAGTGAGGCTCAGGTTAGGGTGTGTAGAAGAGAGGGAGAATACTTCCCGGTAAAAGTAGGTCTTAGACAGGGATGTGTAATGTCACCATGGTTGTTTAATATATTTATAGATGGGGTTGTAAAAGTAGTAAATGCTAGGGTGTTTGGGAGAGGGGTGGGATTAAATTATGGGGAATCAAATTCAAAATGGGAATTGACACAGTTACTTTTAGCTGATGATACTGTGCTTATGGGAGATTCTAAAGAAAAATTGCAAAGGTTAGTGGATGAATTTGAGAATGTGAGTAAAGGTAGAAAGTTGAAAGTGAACATAGAAAAGAGTAAGGTGATGAGGGGTATCAAATGATTTAGATAAAGAAAAATTGGATATCAAATTGGGGAGGAGGAGTATGGAAGAAGTGAATGTTTTCAGATACTTGGGAGTTGACGTGTCGGCGGATGGATTTATGAAGGATGAGGTTAATCATAGAATTGATGAGGGAAAAAAGGTGAGTGGTGTGTTGAGGTATATGTGGAGTCAAAAAACGTTATCTATGGAGGCAAAGAAGGGAATGTATGAAAGTATAGTAAGTACCAACACTCTTATATGGATGTGAAGCTTGGGTGGTAAATGCAGCAGCGAGGAGACGGTTGGAGGCAGTGGAGATGTCCTGTCTAAGGGCAATGTGTGGTGTAAATATTATGCAGAAAATTCGGAGTGTGGAAATTAGGAGAAGGTGTGGAGTTAATAAAAGCATTAGTCAGAGGGCAGAAGAGGGGTTGTTGAGATAATTTGGTCATTTAGAGAGAATGGATCAAAGTAGAATGACATGGAAAGCATATAAATCTATAGGGGAAGGAAGGAGGGGTAGGGGTCGTCCTCGAAAGGGTTGGAAAGAGGGGGTAAAGGAGATTTTGTGGGCTAGGGGCTTGGACTTCCAGCAAGCGTGCATGAGCATGTTAGATAGGAGTGAATGGAGGCGAATGATACTTGGGACCTGACGATCTGTTGGAGTGTGAGCAGGGTAATATTTAGTGAAGGGATTCAGGGAAACCGGTTATGTTCATATAGTCGGACTTGAGTCCTGGAAATGGGAAGTACAATGCCTGCACTTTAAAGGAGGGGTTTGGGATAGTGGCAGTTTGGAGGGATATGTTGTGTATCTTTATATGTATATGCTTCTAAGCTGTTGTATTCTGAGCACCTCTGCAAAAGCAGTGATAATGTGTGAGTGTGGTGAAAGTGTTGAATGATGATGAAAGTATTTTCTTTTTGGGGATTTTCTTTCTTTTTTGGGTCACCCTGCCTTGGTGGGAGACGGCCGACTTGTTGAAAAAAAAAAAAAAAAAAAAACATGTTCTCTACACATATGCTGCTATGTATGATAATCTATGTAATTGTATTTGTGTATACCTGAATAAACTTACTTACTTACTTACTGACTGCAAGAAGGAAAGAGCTACATCAATACAATTACCCAGTCCAGTAGTCAAAAGGTGACTAACGCTGACACCAAGGAAATACTTCTATCAATTACGCAAATACTCTTAACACATGCATTTTTAAGATTACCTGGGTATTTTAATTGAAAGATCTGTCTTCTAGCCCGGGATTTATCAATTTAATGCAGACACAGGAACAGTCTTTTATAATTTATCCAGTGGAAGAAGTTCAACGATGCAGCAGCAGCAGATGTAGTCACATATAGGGTGGGTACCATTAGTGGAAGTGTGTTAGGACCATAAGGTGGGCCAGAGATTTAGCATTCAATCTGCATGAAATGAAGTTAAGCAGTTACCCTTGAATAGTGTTTAGAAGAATCTGACCATTCAAATGGTACATAATTTCTGTGGGTTTCAGGAGCGTTTACAAAAAAGTAAATTTAATAGACGTGAGACTGACCTTGAAACTAAGGCAGATGTGCAACAGATGTTATACTTGCATAATGTTAATCTATCCAGTGAAGAACTTACAGAATTATAAGAATAAATGTTTTGCAGAGTGATTTTGAAGACTTCTCTTAAACTTCAACAAGAGAAGACATTTAATGCTAAGACAATATCTGAGGGATTTCAGATCTCTGAACATTGGCTTTTAGTATCTGAGGAGCAAGATCCAAATACTTATAGATTTCCAAATTTCTCTAAAATAATGCCCTTATTTGCTGCTGCAAAAATTATACCAAGATAAACAACATTCATCTAACCAACTATAAATACATATGTATTTAAAGAAATCCTCATCAATCTGCAAAGCTGCTACAACTTGTCAGAAATCTCCAGTGATATCAACCTCCAAAGCTGCAATTTTTTTTCCTAATTTTTTTTAAAGATCTTGGTATGCTTGATAAGTGGTCCGGTACTGAACCTGTATAGTACTGTATTTTTAATATTCTATATGCCTTGGTGGGAATCGGCCAGTGTGATAAAAAAAAAATAAAAATGAGGTATCAAAACTTTGGGGCCCAGTCCCTGGGCCCATTATGTGCCTCTGTAATCTTTTGATTACCACCCACAGGATGGGTATGGGGTGCATAATAAAGATTTTAAACTAACTAATATGAGAACCACAATAAGTAATACTGCCAAATGCAGCTTGTCAATTATTTTATACAAATATGATTAAAAAAGGCGTATGACAGGGTGGATAGGGGGGCAATGTGGCAGATGTTGCAAGTGTATGGTGTAGGAGGTAGGTTACTGAAAGCAGTGAAGAGTTTTTACGAGGATAGTGAGGCTCAAGTTAGAGTATGTAGGAAAGAGGGAAATTTTTTCCCAGTAAAAGTAGGCCTTAGACAAGGATGTGTGATGTCACCGTGGTTGTTTAATATATTTATAGATGGGTTGTAAGAGAAGTAAATGCGAGGGTCTTGGCAAGAGGCGTGGAGTTAAAAGATAAAGAATCACACACAAAGTGGGAGTTGTCACAGCTGCTCTTTGCCGATGACACTGTGCTCTTGGGAGATTCTGAAGAGAAGTTGCAGAGATTGGTGGATGAATTTGGTAGGGTGTGCAAAAGAAGAAAATTAAAGGTGAATACAGGAAAGAGTAAGGTTATGAGGATAACAAAAAGATTAGGTGATGAAAGATTGAATATCAGATTGGAGGGAGAGAGTATGGAGGAGGTGAACGTATTCAGATATTTGGGAGTGGACGTGTCAGCGGATGGGTCTATGAAAGATGAGGTGAATCATAGAATTGATGAGGGAAAAAGAGTGAGTGGTGCACTTAGGAGTCTGTGGAGACAAAGAACTTTGTCCTTGGAGGCAAAGAGGGGAATGTATGAGAGTATAGTTTTACCAACGCTCTTATATGGGTGTGAAGCGTGGGTGATGAATGTTGCAGCGAGGAGAAGGCTGGAGGCAGTGGAGATGTCATGTCTGAGGGCAATGTGTGGTGTGAATATAATGCAGAGAATTCGTAGTTTGGAAGTTAGGAGGAGGTGCGGGATTACCAAAACTGTTGTCCAGAGGGCTGAGGAAGGGTTGTTGAGGTGGTTCGGACATGTAGAGAGAATGGAGCGAAACAGAATGACTTCAAGAGTGTATCAGTCTGTAGTGGAAGGAAGGCGGGGTAGGGGTCGGCCTAGGAAGGGTTGGAGGGAGGGGGTAAAGGAGGTTTTGTGTGCGAGGGGCTTGGACTTCCAGCAGGCATGCGTGAGCGTGTTTGATAGGAGTGAATGGAGACAAATGGTTTTTAATACTTGACGTGCTGTTGGAGTGTGAGCAAAGTAACATTTATGAAGGGATTCAGGGAAACCGGCAGGCCGGACTTGAGTCCTGGAGATGGGAAGTACAGTGCCTGCACTCTGAAGGAGGGGTGTTAATGTTGCAGTTTAAAAACTGTAGTGTAAAGCACCCTTCTGGCAAGACAGTGATGGAGTGAATGATGGTGAAAGTTTTTCTTTTTCGGGCCACCCTGCCTTGGTGGGAATCGGCCGGTGTGATAATAAAAAAAAAAAAAAATGATTAAAAATTTACTCACCTTCCAATAGCTTGAATAGTTGCAGCCACAAATTCTTTATCTGATGACCCTATGTAAGTCTGGAACTCCCGGAGAATGATAGATATGTTGGTGTCTGTGGCTAAGTTGGTCAGTACCTGCATTGTGACAGACAGCTGTAAATCAATTCCTTCTAATAACTATACATTACATAAAACCTAAAATACCACAACAATTATGAATCCCTGTGGGAAGATTAGAATAAACTAAGAATGTGGGGTACTAACTGGTGATTAGAATACACTGGTGGAAAATTCTATGTAACAGAAATGGATATAAGTTGAAACAGGCCAAATGTAGAAAATAGGGTTATCATAAAAATCTTAAAAATTAATGAGAAAAAGAAAGCTCTTATGTGGATGGTAAATAAAAAAAAAAAGCAAACAAACTAGCTTTTTTAACATGCAAACATATATATCCTATAATTAAAAATCACATTATACAAAGAATAATTAAAAGTACAGCCTACAAAACAATAAAAAGACGGACCTACAAGGAATAAATAAAAGTGGCACAACCTATGATGATGATGATGATGAAGATGATGATGATGATGATGATGATGATGATGATGATGATGATGATGATGATGATGATGATGATGATGATGATGATGATGATGATGATGATGATGATGATGATGATGATGATGATGATGATGATGATGTGATGATGATGATGATGATGATGATGATGATGATGATGATGATGATGATGATGATGATGATGATGATGATGATGATGATGATGATGATGTTGATGATGATGATGATGATGATGATGATGATGATGATGATGATGATGATGATGATGATGATGATGATGATGATGATGATGATGATGATGATGATGATGATGATGATGATGATGATGATGATGATGATGATGATGATGATGATGATTATTTTAAAGTTCATTCTCACAAAAAAATGTACAAGTGATACAGATTTGCATGAAGTCAACAGGTGAAAATTTTTGGGCATTAATAAAAGCAATAGGAATGCACTCTTTAGAAAAGTGAAGACAGAGAGATGTAATAAATACAGTGGTACAATGACTTACGAATTTAATTCATTCCATGGCTGAGCTTGAACCTCAATTTGCTCATATATCAAAACAATTTTCTTCACTGAAATTAACTGAAATGCCATTAATCCATTCCAGCCCCCCAAAACTGCTACAATTTTTTTGTTATGGGTTTTTAAATAAGAAAAATGTATTTACAAATAAGAAATACAGTGGTACCTTGGTATATGACCTTAATTCGTTCCAGAAGGCTGTTCGAGTGCCGATCTGTTCGAGTACCGAACGAATTTGTTCCCATAAGGAATAATGTAAAGTAGATCAATCCATTTCAGACCCCAAAAATATACTTACAAAAATACACTTACATAACTGTTCGAGTCGGGAGCTTGTCGTATACTGAGGTACCACTGTATTGCATAAAAACATAATAAAAATAATAAAAGAGAATGTAAAGAAATAAACTGGTTATATATGATTTTAATTGGTTTTAGTACTGGAAATGGCTTGAAAGTGAGCTCAAAGTAGAGGAAATGTTAAATTTTTGCCGATGTTCAAGAGTAAACAGATGACCTCACACGTCTAACAAACACCAGCTGGTGGGTCTAATATACGTTCACAAATATGGTGATATTATTTATACAATTATTACAATATTGCATAACAGTAAATCTCCTATTTTTTGGTTTGAATAAAAATTCATTATGTAATTCATGTCATTCATTATGTAAATAAAAAATAAAAATGAAATTCATTTGTAAAGCCTGAAAATGTAACTAATGAACAGAGGAAATGTTAGTTTAGTGCCAGGAATGCCTGCATTGTTTATTCTGGACCCTATTTTGAAACTGGAATATTTTGAACTTTGCGTTAAATTGGCCAAATTACCAATTTCTGATCACTTTATTTTGTAGTTGAAAGAGATGACTTGGCAATTTCTTGTGCTCAATTGATAGAATAGAAGTAATACTAGTAAAATAGCTAAGAATTTGGTTGACTAGAATAATGTAATTGGCCTAAAATGGGAGTCAAACTCGGCAATATCGCCAATGCCTAAATATCGCTGACACATCAAGATTCGCAAGAGCACAATTTCGTCAATTTTCCATCAAATTTCGTACTTTTTGCTTTATTACCTTCAGAAAAAGATTCTCTACCATTTCATAAAAAAAATAACAATTTCTTTTCAAAAATTCTTGGACCCTGGAACACACTTTAACCCGTAAACGGTCCAAATGTATATAGATGTTCACTACCCCAGTGCCCTGAATATTTTGAAAAATAAAAAAATAATTTTTTAATGAAAATAAAGAGCACATTTTTCTAAGTGTTATAGGGTTAAAATAAAAAAATTAGGGTCAGTACTTATTGAGATATGAGGCTGCAAAGTTGGTAATGCTCACCTGATGGCAACATAGAGTCCTGCCGCTTGCAGAAGTGTTGCTGATATACCATTTTTTCTCATTTTTATATTATTTTATATAATTTAAATGTTCTGATAATTACAATTTATTGTAGTTCTTGTCATTTCCTAACCAATCTTTGTTCTCACACTAATATTAGGTACTGAAATTGTACTCAAATTGTCACAAACACATTGACATGTGGACGTTTACACCTGCCTTGGTCATTTACTATTGTCTAGGAATATATACAAAGTATTTATAGGTCCCAGCAATGTTCTGGATACACGGGAGTATAGAAGAAAATGGAAGAAGGAAGAGGAGGAAGAAGGAAGAAATTATCTTAAAGCAATGTGTAAGACAAGTGTTCAGTGACAAGTATCCAGGAGGGCAGTGATAAGATCAGATATGAGACAACATTTGATGGGCTCCAAGAGGGTGCAGAGATAAGGGATGACATTTGATGAGCTGTATCTCTGTCTGCTTGTCTCTTTCCATCTCTCTGCTTGTCTGTCTGTCTGTCTCAGAGAGAGCCACTGTGAACCAACAGGTATTCTTCCGCATTATATCTACAAGCACAGCATAGCACTTTGGATTTTTTAGGTTATCCTGGGTAATTTACACTATGTATAACTGTATTTGTGTGTACCTGTGAGACAGATAGACAGAGATAGATGGAGATAGACAGAGACAGACAGACACACCCTAAACTTGGGGTAAACATCACTTTCCTCTTAAAAGGGGAGTGTTAATATGGTAGTAGGTTGGTAAACAGCAACCACCCAGGGGGGTATTACCGTCCTGCCAAGTGAGTGTGAAATGAAAGCCTGTAATTGTTTTACATGATGGTAGGATTGCTGGTGTCTTTTGTCTGTCTCATAAATATGCAAGATTACAGGTACGTCTTGCTACTTCTACTTAGGTCACACTACGCATACATGTACACGTTTATTTATACACACTCATCTGAGTTTTCTTTGATTTTATCTTAATAGTTCTTGGTCTTATTACTTTTCCTTTTATATCCGTGGGGAAGTGGAATAAAAATCTTTCCTCCGTAAGCCATGCGTGTTGTAAAAGTCTACTAAAATGCCGGGAACAATGGGCTAGTAATCCCTTATCCTGTAATAATTACTAAAAAGAATAAGAAGAAAATTGTCAAAGTGGGAAGTCTGAATGTGCGTGGATGTTGTGCAAATGAGAAGAAAGAGACGATTGTGGATGTTATGAATGAGAAGAAGCTGGATGTCCTGGCTTTAAGTGAAACAAAGCTGAAGGGGGTGGGAGAGTTTCAGTGGAGAGGAATAAATGGGATAAGGTTAGGGGTTTCAAATAGAGTTAGAGCTAAAGAAGGAGTAGCAATAATGTTGAAGGATAAGTTATGGCAGGAAAAGAGGGACTATAAATGTATTAATTCAAGGATTATGTGGAGTAAAATAAAGGTTGGATGTGAAAAGTGGGTTATAGTAAGTGTGTATGCACCTGGAGAAGAGAGAAGAGTAGAGGAGAGAGAGAGAGAATTTGGGAAATGTTGAGTGAACACGTGGGGAGTTTAGAACCAAGTGTGAGAGTAATGGTGATTGGGGGTTACAATGCTAAAGTGGGCAAAAATGTTGTGGAGGGAGTAGTAGGTAAATTTGGGATGCCAGGGGTAAATGAAAATGGGAAGCCTTTAATTGAGCTATGTGTAGAAAGAGGATTGGAAATAAGTAATACATATTTTATGAAGAAGAGGATAAATAAATACAGTGGACCCCCGCATAACGATCACCTCCGAATGCGACCAATTATGTGAGTGTATTTATGTAAGTGCGTTTGTACGTGTATGTTTGGGGGTCTGAAATGGACTAATCTACTTCACAATATTCCTTGTGGGAAAAAATTCGGTCGGAACTGGCACCTGAACATACTTCTGGAGCGAAAAAATATCGTTAACCGGGGGTCCACTGTATACAAGGTATGATATAGCACGTAATGAAAGTAGTTTGTTAGATAATGTATTGGTGGATAAAAGGTTGATGGATAGGCTCCAGGATGTACACGTTTATAGAGGAGCAACTGATATATCGGATCATTATTTAGTTGTAGCTACAGTTAGAGTAAGAGGTACATGGAAAAAGAGGAAAATGGCAACAACAAGCAAGAGGGAGGTGAAAGTGTATAAACTAAGGGAGGAGGAAGTTCGGGTGAAATATCAGCAACTATTGGCAGAAATGTGGGATGGTGCAAGTATGAATAGTGGAGGGGGGAGGGTTGAAGGGGGTTGGAATAGTTTTAAAAATGCAGTATTAGAATGTGGGGCAGAAGTTTGTGGTTATAGGAGGGTGGGTGCAGAAGGAAAGAGGAGTAATTGGTGGAATGAAGAAGTAAAGGGTCTGATAAAAGAGAAAAAGTTAGCTTATGAGAGGTTTTTACAAAGCAGAAGTGTTATAAGAAGAGTAGAGTATACGGAGAATAAAGAAAGGTGAAAAGAGTGGTGAGAGAGTGCAAAAGGATAGCAGATGATAGAGTGGGAGAGGGACTATCAAGAAATATTAATGAAAATAAGAAAAAATTTTGGAGTTAAACAAGTTAAGAAAGCCTAAAGAACGAATGGATTTGTCAGTTAAAAACAGAGTAGGGGAGTTAGTAGATGGGGAGATGGAGGTTTTGGGTAGATGGCAAGAATATTT